AAAGCAGTTTTGTCTTCCTAAATCACAGTGGCTACTTGTTCCATCCCATATCCCTCCAGTGGAAAGGAGAGAACCTGACCCCCTTAACCCTTTAAAGCCAAACGTATCATATTTGATTCGGTTTCTGAAGGCCATTGCAGATGTGGGAGCTCAAACGAGAACACAAGTCTCTAACCGTGGCTGTACGACAATAGTCTAGACGTCCCTGCTCCCGTGGGGTCTTATTTCTATTCCAGAGACGTGCTAATCACTGGCTGCTCTCACGTGCACGCGCCCGGCACATTTTTATTTTATTTTTATTTTACCTTTATTTTACCAGGAAGTCCCTTGGGATAGAATCTCTTTTTTCAAAGGGAGACCTGGCCGAGAGGCAGCAGTACAGTAAGACGTATAAGAACACAGGACAACATAATAAAATCAATCATAAACTAGACTCTAGAGGAACGGTTACAATGCTCTGTGCAAGCGGTTTTCAATAGTGATTTAAAATTATAAAGTGACACAGGTATGGGGGGAGTTTACCCAGGATGGCCTTGTAAATGAAAGTAAGCCAATGATGTTGTCTTCTGGAGCTTATCTCATTGACTGCCAGAGTTTTTTGAGCATTTTGACTGATTTTTAAAGAGCCACAGAATAGTTTGTGCTATGAGTATGTAAACACCGAACACACCAAAAGAAAGAGTAGACTCTCTTCTTTAATCAGGAAAAAAAAAGTGTTTCTACCTTATTCCGTTCTTCCTGGACTTGCGTCTCACCGGCGACATGTTCTCTCATAGAACCGTTACCTTTTTCTTATTTGCCTACAGTCTATGCTCATCTCCCATCAAAAGTGGCACTGCCCCCTAGAGGGTCAATTTGTTACTACATACTCTGTCTAGAAGCCTGATATTTACGGACAAGCTTTAGCAGATCGTCCCCCAGCCACTCTCGTTGAAAAACTTAAAAGACGTCTATAGACGTCTTTGGCAGCCAATGAGTTAAAGAGGGCCATGAAACCAGAGTATACAGTTCACAATGACGAGTCCTGAAGGTAGAGTTGGTGATGAAACGTAAAGCACTGTGATAAACTGTGTCCAGGGACTGGAGAGCTGAGGAGGCAGCTTTCATATATATGATGTCTCCATAGTCCAGAACAGGAAGGAAGGTGGTCTGAACAAGTCTTTTCCTCACTGAGGGAATCAAAGAGGATTTTTGTCTGTAGTAAAAGCCAAGCAGGGCTTTCAGTTCTTTTGATATATTATCTAAATGTGTTGTGAAAGACAATTTGTCATATATCCAGTTAGCCGAGGCAGACGGCCGCCCACCCTGAGCCATGGTTCTGCTCCAGGTTTCTGCCTGTTAATAGGGAGTTTTTCCTTGCCTGTGTCGCCTAGTGCTTGCTCATGGTGGGAATTGTTGGGTTTCTGTAATTAACTTCAGAGTAGGGTCTGACCTGCTCTGTTTGGAAAGCGCTGTGAGACAACTGTTGTTGTGATGTGGCGCTATATACAGTGGGGGAAATAAGTATTTGACCCCTTGCTGATTTTTCAGGTTTGCCCACTTACAAAGAATGACTATTTTTTCTCATCAGATGGTTATCAATTTTTATAAATTCATATGATGTGATTTTCTGGAATTTTCTTTGGGATTCTGTCTTTCACTGTTAGAATGTACATATGATTAAAGTTATAAATCGTTGCATTCTTTATAGGTGTATACCTGCAAAATCAGCAAGGGGTCAAATACTTATTTCCCCCACTGTAAATAAAATTGAATTGAATTGAATACCCAGGTACTTATAACAGGAAAGTTCAGATCGGCCTGGATGTATCATTCATTCCTGGGCTTTTCTGGCTCAGCAGTTATGTGAATCTGCCATGCATCCACTGGCCGTGCCTCTGTCACTCTTTCCCTCCCAGTTCTGGCTTTTACCCCCCTTTTTTTGCAGCTTAATGGTGTGTGTGTGTGCTCAGCCTTAAGGTTAATGAGGGGGGCCGGGACTCGGACATGCCTCCACGGGGCAGGTCAGGAAAGAGAAATAAAGGGGAAAGTCAAATAAATTAGAAGACATTAAAAAGGGTTTTATAAAAAGGAAACGTAATAGAGAGAATAAGAAGAAACCGGGAGGTCGGGGGTCAGGTCACAGGGTCAGATCACCTGATAAAAGACAAAAGAAGAAAGACGAGAACATTTAATATTCTCCAACATTTAACCCTTTAAAGCCTGATCCAAGAATAAAACAAAACAGAAGATTACTTTTTTTTGGTTTGAATTCCTTATTTAGCATTTTAACAAAATATGTAAAAAGAAAAAACAGAAAGACATTTTTAATATTGATCATTTATTACTATGCGATAAGTCAAGATTATTTTTTGTGTAGTCTTCTGTCCCCTGTTATCAGGTGTATCTGATTGTGTACAATAGGATTTGGAGCAAAGTTTTTACCATTAAATTATGCAAAAGGAGTCAGACGCAAAACATTTCAGAAACCGTATGAATCAAATATGATAAATTTGGCATTACAGGGTTAATATTCTCCAATAGAACAAAATAGCAAAGAAAGAAGTGGATGACGGAGACGAGAAAGGCAAAGGGCAAAGGAAAAAAAAAAGAAAAATAGAGTAGGAGCTGTACAAAGACTCAGGCTTAATCATTCATATTGAGTAAATGCCCCCACTGTGTATCCCTCCTTTTTTCCTCTGCTTACAGAATGGACAATGGAATAAATAATAAGAGCTTGTGTCACGTTACCAGCGGTGCCGTTTCTGGTAAAGAAGCGATCATGCTAACGGCCTGATGCTGACACACACACACACACACACACACACACACACACACACACATACTGGTTTTTATGTGTCATGGGGATCAACTTTGTAATCATCAATTGCGGGGACCACCCTTTCTACAAGCCTTAGAGGTCTAAAAAAAATCATGCACGACAACTAAAGCTTGGTTAGCTTATACACACCTTCAAACATCTGAAAAGGTGAAGTAATATTTTCATCATGCTATTTGGGGACTTCCGGTAAATCGAGTGGACATGCCTGATGAGGACCTCATTAACAAAAATTTGCATATTTCACACAGATTCAAATGTGATAAGTGGGGACATGACATTTGACATGCAGCTATCTATACCAAATGAATTTAAAGCTTCTTTGTTTTGTGAAAACAAACTTTCAACCAGTATTTAAAGCCCCACTATGTAGGATTAGTGGTACCGGTACTCCAACCAGTGACTTTATCATCCCCTCTGTTCCTGAACCAGCCTGCCCTCTGCTTATGACCTATCCAGTCCACTAGAATCTTCATTTGCCCCTCTTGATAACATTATTCCCACTTTCCATGTTATTCCATGTTGTAAACTGTTGTTGTCTTGTCTGTAAACAATATCTATTGCACTTCTGCCCATCCTGGGCGAGGGGTCCGTCCTTTGTTGCTTACACTGAGGTTTTCTTGGGAATTTTTTTTCTTTTTATCAATCGATATGAGGGTCTAATGGCAGAGGATGTTGTTATGCTGTGTAAAACCTTTTGAGACATACTACTAAAATTGGACTATACAAAAAACCTTTTAATGTTTTCAAGTTTTGCATAACATGAGACAACAGAGAAGAAAAAGCAGTAGTATAGTATAGTTGTGCCAGATGTCTGTTAAGGCTCTTCCCACCGAGCTCTATCAGTGTCTCTCGGCTGTGATCTGAACACTTTTCAAGAAAGCTTAAAGAAATGTTCTTTTTAAGGCTCTTAACACAATTATAAATGCAAAAGTTGAACTCTCATTTAATAAAAAAACAGTAAAGCCATATCAATAGTGTCTGACCTGAACAATAATCAACAAAGCCTAGTCTGTTGCTATTTTGATGGCTGTTATACGGTTGTAAACATAATACCTCAAGGTTTGCCAGTTACGAGCTCTATCAGTGTCTCTCGGCCGTTACCTGAACACTTTTCAAGAAAGCTCAATGAAATGTTCTTTTTAGACTCTTAACACAATTATAAATGCAAAATTTGAGTTGAAATTTTGCATTTATAATTGTGTTAAGAGCCGTTCAAAGAGTTAAAAAAAAAACAGTAGAGCTATATCAATAGTGTCTGACATGAACAATAGTGTCTGACCTGAACAATAATCAACAAAGCCTAGTCTGTTGCTCTTTTGATGGCTGTTATACGGTTGTAAACATAATACTTCAAGGTTTGCCAGTTACGATTTTTTAGGGCCTCTGGTTCAGCTCTAAGACACCTTTCGCATTCCCATTTTCCTGGGACCATGCATGATGAAATGAATTTCATCAGATGCCTTTCAACCGCTCGTATCTCTGTCTGCGTCCACGGTGATTTCTTCTGTGTGGCTTTTCCTGAAAGAGCTGAGAAAGACAAATTTGTAAATAGGCAGTATAGGGTAAATAAAGTAGCAAATCTCTCAAATCTAACACCATACTCTCTCTCTCACACACACACTATTACACTCCATGACACACACTTTATTATCCTCTCACACAGATTACTAATCTCTCTCTGAGTATAGTCAAGGAGTTTATTTGGCTTCAGAAACTCAGACCATCAAACCGAGAAAAAGCAGAATTCATCTGCTCAGCAAATGAATGGACATTTACCTCACATGATTGGCACTTCAGATCAGCTGATCATTAGTGACCGACTAGCAATTGGAGTATAATTGAATAAAGGAATATAAATAGCTCCTACAAATCTCAACAGTGACCACCATCAAATTTTAGTTTAAGGATAGTT